ACCACACGCCCCTGGGCTCTGTTTCTCTCTCCAGTCTCCTGTGTGCGTGTGTCCAGTGTCTCACCACACGCCCCGGGCTGTTTCTCTCTCCAGTCTCCTGTGTGCGGGTGTCCAGCGTCTCACCGCACGCCCCTGGGCTCCCTTGCGTGTGAGTCGCTTACCTGTTCTTTGCCTGTCTCTGTACCTGGCAGGCTGGCTTTTCCTTACTTGCGCTGCATGGCGGCGGCCTCCCACGCTGCCTGGTGCTCACTATGGGGATCGTCTTTCTTCTGTGGCTGTCGGCTTTCTTTGACCTATCATCATCCACAGTTTTAAAATTTGATGTAATTACATGTATTGGTATTTTCTTTTGTATCTTAAACATGTTTCCCCATGCTAAGGTCATAAACACATTCTCCTACATTGTAAAGTTTTGCTTTTTCCAGTTAGGTTGTAAGCCCCTGTGGCTGACACTGTGTGTAGGACAGGCGAGGTGGGGTCCAGCTTTGCCCTACTTGTCCCCTGAACGAGTTCCACACACACGCGGGTCCGCCTGGGCTCTCTGCTCTGTTCCACTGTCTCCTGCCTCCCATTGTGCCAAAACAATAAGGAACTTACTGAGTTGCAGTGATTTGATTATTTTATCATTAAGTTGTGGCTTTTGGGAGACCATGTACCCCTCATTTTTCTTCTTCAAAATTGTCTTTTTTGTTTTTTTGAAACTGAGTCTCACTGTCACTCGGACTGGAGTGTAGTGGTGCAGTCTCAGCTCACTACAACCTCCGCCTTCTGGGTTCAAGCGATTCTCCTGCCTCTGCCTCCTGATTAGCTGGGATTGCAGGCATGCACCACCATGCCCAGCTAGTTTTTGTATTTGTATTAGAGATAGGGTTTCACTGTGTTGGCCAGGCTGGTCTCAAACTCCTGATCTCAAATGAGCCACCCGCCTCGGCCTCCCACAGTGGCGGGATTACAGGTGTGCACCACCTTGCCCGGCTCTTTTCTAAACTCTAGAGTTAAATGTTCTCATAGTTTCCAGCTGCGTAATTTAGTTCTTATTAAAATAATTTTAAAATTTTCACTTTTCTTTGACCAGCTTTCTAATTGTGTTAAATGCATATAAAATCTGCCATTTTCAGGTGTGTGGTTTGGGGGCCTTGGGCACAGACCCAGTGTTGTACCGCCGCCACCACCATCCTCTCCGGAGCCTTTTTATCTTCCCAAATAGAAGCCCTGCCCCATTAAAACACTCACTCCCACCCACTCCCCCAGCAGGGGTGGATCACAGAGGGGTCTGATGGTTTCTGAGGTGATGGAAACCATCCCAGATCACCATGTGATCACTGTGCAAGTTTGTGAATTTACTGAAAATCACTATTATATACATAAAAGAGGTGTGTGTAAACTGTGCCATAATGCAGCCTAAAAATTGCAAGTGTGCTCGTAACTTAGTGTATTTAAATAGGTAGTACATTCAGTCCTAAGATTAATATTACAGAAAAGGTTTAAATTTTGTTCTGATCCCTGTCACTGTCTGTAGTGACATATAAAACCACTCTGTGATTACTTTGTTTTCCTTCCACAATCCCCTCCCACCCCACCTCTCACTCCCCACCACCAACCCCCACTGTGTGTTTTTCCAGGCCCTTCTGCCTGGTGAGGTGGGGAGTCTCTGTCTTCCCACAGGTGCACGCAGGCCCTGCCTTCATCTGTGCAGCCCCTTCCCGAGGCCCCACAGAGCCCTCTACACTACAGACCCCGCTGCCCCGCAGAGCACCGCACGCTACAGAACCCGCTGCCCCACAGATCCTGGCAAGCTGCAGACCCTGCTGCCCGGCAGAGCCCCACACCCTACAGACCCCGCTGTCCACCAGAGCCCCGCACGCTGCAGACCCCACTGCCTCAGACCTGGGCCACTGTGGCCAGTGCACCTGATCCCTGGGCCTGAGATGCAGCTGCCTGTTGATGGCATGGCCTGTCCAGTTCTTACAGAGACACGAAGCCCACCACTTATGCTGTCCTTGCCCTGCCATTCTGTTAGCGTGAGTGTGTCACCAGCTGTGTCCCAGATAGAAGTGTGTCTCATCTTTAGTGGGCTTTTTCCTCATTAGCTCTATTTCTTTAAGTCTGCTTGACTAATATCAATCTAGCTATGCCAGCTTTCCGTTGGTTAAAACTTGTGTGGTATTCCTGTTCTTAAAATGTCTTAACTGTGACAAGCTTTACAACATAAAGCTAGGTCTTTAAAACGAGAAACTTTTAGCCGGCACGTTACCTCATGCCTTCCACGATTTGCCATGGAGGAGCTGAGTTGGTTCCTTTTTTTGTTTGTTTTTCTCTCTTTTCATCTGTTTTTTTCTATGCTTGCTTCCTTCCTTCCTGCTGTTGAGTGAATTAGTAAGTTTTCTTTAATCTCTTTCTTCCCCTGGTTTGCAAGGTATAAGCTCTACTTTTGTTATACTAGTGGTTACAAAATGTTTAAATAAACAATTTACATTTTTAAAAGTCCAAAGTTACTGTAAGTCTGTGCCCCTCCCCGCACAGCACCTCCACCCCAGCCCTCACTAGGCACCAGTGCCCCTTCCCATGCGCTTTCTCGTTTTGTTCCTTCCTCTGGATTCCTCGTCTTTCTCCCTGGGCTGCCCCTCTCCCCAGTTCTGCCTCCAGACTCCGGTCTTTCTCCCCGCACAGCCCCTCTCCCGCGTTCTTTTCCGGACTCCGGGTCTTTCTCCCTGTGCCGCTCCTCTCCCGAGTTCTTCTACTCCGGACTCCGGGTCTTCTCCCCGTGCCGCTCCTCTCCCGAGTTCT